CAGTGTTTTTAAAAATGTTTTTGGGGCAAGTCTCAAGGCAAGTCTCGGGGTGGGGCGTACCAAAAACGCATCGGGGCGTAAATTAAAGACGTAGATCCATAAGGTGTAAGTTCTTAAATTTGAGGCGTAAGCCTCAAGCATAAAAACGTAAGTCCTTGGCGTAAAAATGTAGGCACGAGCGTTTTTAATTTATTTTTTTGAACCTTTTTTGCTTTAAATCATATTTTTTATTATTGGTGTAATGAAATAGTAATTATAATATTTTTTTCTTCATTATTGATTATTAATACTTATCTCAAATAAAAATTATAATATAATTTCTATATATTATAGGTTATATATAAAAATTATTTGTAAAATCATTGAAAGGTTTACTTTTGCTTATTTCATTAGTAATAAAACTATAAAATTGAATATACATGAGACTACGCCCCGTAGATCCATGAGACTTACGCCCCGTGTCTCGAGGCTTACGCCTCGTCCCGTACTGTATAAAACGTCTTGCCTCACACCCCCGCCTTTTAAAACACTGAGTGTAAGCATTAATTATAAATAGCATAAAAAATGTACCATTTAAGATACTATTAATACACAAAACTAATACATTATGTGTGCATTATATTTACTATTACACTCTACCATACGATCTCACGTACTAAAGAAATGCTAAATGAAATTGATAGCTAGGTTGTTGTTGTTAGTATTACACTCCTCTAAATGGGACTAAATTAAAGGGATACATTGAAATATTAAATGAAAGGATATTTCTAGTTTGTAGTCCATGATGGATATAGGTAATTCATGATCACATTTAGGTACAAAAGCGAACCGAAAATCGAACCAAATCGCAAATTGAGTCAAACTGAAAAAAAAACCCGATTAGTGGTTTAGTTTGACTTGGTTTGGTATTGAAAAAAAAAATTCGACTATATTTGGGTTGGTTTGGTTTAAACTAAAAAAAAACAACCCGAGACTAAACCAACCCGACATTATATATGTAATTTTAAAATTTTATTTTATACATAAAAATATTTACAATAGAATTTTAAAATATTTCTTATATTATTTCATAGTTTTTATCTTTTAATATATTATTTCAAGTTTAAAACTTAGAATTCGGAATGGTCCAATAAAGATTATAGTTCATAGATGTTGATAATTATAATAAAACTTAAATCAAAATCAAACTAATACTAATGCAAAAAGAAAATCAATTCAACACTAAGAATGACAATAATATTGAATATTTGTTCTTTAGTTTTACATTGGTTTAGACAATTAAAATACATAATCTAATTTTAATTTTCCTTAAATATTTAGTAATGTAACCAATACTTATTAAGCTTATTTTAGCATGATTTAGTACTTTTAAATTATGATCATTTTCATTATGACTTTGCAATATTTATTTTATATGATGATTTCATTATTATTTTTTATTGAATATTTTAATGTCATCAGTACTCATCTCATATTTTGTGTTATTTTCTTAAGAAGCACCTTAGATAATTGTATTTTGGTTAGACTAAAAAATATTTGAGCACAAGTTAATTAGATGTTTGTATGCAAACTTTACCGAAAAAATCCAAAAATATGAAAAACTTCGAGGTTTATTAGTTTTGTTTGATTTTATAAATTTAAAAATTTGACACAATGGTTTGATTTGGTATTTGAAAAACCTGAACCAACCCGAGGTTGAAAAACCCAAAAAAATCCAAATTTTATTAGTTTGATTTGGTTTATAAATTAAATTTTTTTACACAAATGATTTGGTTTGATATTTGAAAAACTCAAACCAACCCGATCATGTAGACCCCTAATCACATCATTGCCTTCAACTTCTTTACATACAGAGTTATTAATGCAGAAACGGACGGGACTTGTAACTGCCATGCCTTCAAGGTTACATTTAATTAGTGCCTTATCCATCTTACAATTATCTAAAAAAAATCATCTCTTTTTTTCCTAAAAAGAGCGATATATAATTGAGTAGTTTGTGAACAACGATAAATGTAGAGATGGTTAGATATGGATTCATTCGAACTCTATAAGTCCAGCTTAGAGTCTAAATATATGTATTAAAAAATGTACTAAACAAGTACATTGAAACAACCAATAAATCAAATTATAAGTTACAATATAGTATTTCTAAACCTTGAACCAATAAAATTTGAACTTTTGATCCACCTCTAGTTTGAGTTTTGCACTTCGGATCAACTAAGCCTCTTTAGGCTTCATTGATTTGCACTTAATAGAGGTCTGAATCTTAATCACTCGAATTCAACTCATTAAGTATGTTTGATTTGTAAGTCTGAATCTTAATCATTTAAATTCAGCTCATTAAACTCATTTTTTCACTTAATGGATCGGAGGTCTGATTCTTAATCGTTCAGATTTAGCCCATTAAATGTGTTTGGTTTATAGGTCTGAATCTTAATCATTTAGATTCAGCCCATTAAATCCATTTGTTTCTTTTTTTAAGTCTGAATCTCTGTTTCTTTACTATTTTTTTCTATTGGTTTATGCAAAATAAAAAGGTATGTATTCCCATGAAGTGGGAAAAAAGAATAAAAAGTTAAGAGCCGGAGGGATGCATACACCTGTATTTCACATAAATCATCATTATGGGCTTATAAGCCATATAGGAATATAGCAAATGGTTTGATCTTTATCGTTGTACTAAAAGATACCATACTCTTTATCATTGTACTTTTTACTTCTTTTTTCTTCCTTTTTCATGTGAGTTGTAAAGAGAGATTGGATAGGTGTTGATCAGGTAAGGAAGAATCTTACTTAATTATGACCTCTAATTATATTGAGATTAATTAACAACAAATACTTTTGCTCAATATATCCATAATGTCTATGAAGATTCTGTGTATGCCTTTTTTGATATACTAGAATTTAAGTGGCCACCATTCAACTTTGAGGCAGAGAAGTTGGTGGGAGAATCAATACTTTGTTGGTTGTTGATGTGGCAGAGTTACCTACATACATAAATCATAAAAGCTTTGTCCTTATGATTTGTCAATTCTTAATAATGTAAAATAATTAGGAAAAATATTACTTTTTTTCTCACACATTCGAAGGTGAATTCCCATTATGTATCAAATCACTTTTGTCTCCCAACATGTAAGTGACACATTTCAAGTTGCTAGCTTGCCAAGTGACCTCTTCGAATGATACTTATACTTGGACATCAACATGATTAGACACAAACATAGTAAATAATCACAATCAATAACCGCTTCTTAGACTACTCGTCATAATTAGATAATTATTGTACAACCAAACCTCGTTATAACAATATTTTATTTATCCACAAAACGGTACAATTGAATTTATCAAATTATAACTATGAAATAAATCACAATAATAACAAGAGGCAATGAATATAAAAGAAAGAAATGTCCCATTAGAATTGGTAGGGTAAGATCTAGCACCCTTGCTTGTATTGATTTCCATTGAATTTTTTTTATTATGTTATTAATAAAAGATCGTTAGACACACTGTTTAATGATATAAATCGAAGAAAAGTATATTAGATGCTGAGAATTGGACCTTGATGGCATAAATATAGCGTCTCCAGAATGACTATGCTCGTGACTGTTGAGGCACTAGTTTCAGTGGCGTGGGTTCCAGAATTCATCTGAGTTGAATTTTGTTTCTTAGCTCAATTTTTTAGGATGCTCATTCAACATTCCCTAATCGACCCCTTCTAACCGAGTGCACATGTCACGTCTCATCTTATCGTTAGTCTATCTAGAAAAGACTCATTTTATTCCATATATATAATCTCCCACTTTTTGATTGCTCAACTACTAAAAAACATCAGAAAGTGGAAGGTCGTTTTTCAAATTATTGACGAGAAAGTATGTTAAGAGTCTTTCTAGCATATTTACTAATTCTTCCAATAGTTTGAAATAATTACATATTGTATCACTAATTAATAATATTTTCATATCAAATTTCAAGTCTGATACACCTAAATACATGTATATTTGCTACTGAATACACTAAAGTATAGGGAGAGGCAAGCGAGATAGAAGGAAGGTGAGGAGGATTCCCAGATACATGTAAAATTACACTAGATACATGTATCTGGGATACTAGATATAAAGAGGTGAGCAAGAGAGGAGAGTGGTGCGTGAGATGGGAGAGAGGCGAGCGAGAGAGCCTGATACATGCGAATCTACTAGAATATAGTGTATCTAGAACAAATTACACCTAAGTTTGATACCATGTATCTCAGATACATATATCCGAAGTTCAAAATCTGGTAAGATTCGTAATTAGCTCATAAACTAGTGAGAATTTTGTAAATTACTCAGATAAGTTAAACTACATAATTATACATACTTCACTACCATATATACTATTATTATCTATACTATCAAAATATCACATATCTTACTACTAATTAAGAGTTTCTTACCATATATTGAAGAAGATACACTTAGATACATGTATTTTTGTTACCAGATACACTAGAATAGAGAGATAGGTAAGCGAGATGGGGAGGAAGACAAGTGAGATTTGTTATGTATCGCAGATATATGTAATTCACACTAGATACATGTATCTGGTATTGATTCACATGTATCTGAGGTATTAGAAACATAAGAGAGTGGTGAGCGAGATTTGTCATGTATCCTAGATACATGTGAATTCACTTGGATACAATGTATCTAGAATAAATTACACTTAATTTTGATCCCATGTATCCCAAGATACATGTATCTAGACGTAATTGAACATATCTGGACGCACCAGAATTTGATAATTTTTGTAATATTGCAAATTAGAATGTATCAAAGTAATTAGCTCCTAAAATAGTGGGTAAGTTTCCCAAATAAATTTCAAATTTTATGTTTGTCCCACATACCAAAATCACAGAAAAGAATGGGATTTTGTTGATCGAGTCCAAGGGATGATTTGGGTTTTGGAGTTATCAAACGACAATCTTATCGACTTCATGGGCTGCTGTCCAAGTTTTTCCGCCCATACATTTAGGCCCGAAATGTGCTACCACTGTGGAAACAGGGGAATCGACACTTGATTCACATGGCCATCCACTGTAGATAAATCTAAGAACCTGACAGAGGAAGAACCACCACATTCACAAGCAAAGAGAGAATGAGAGCTCTCTGGAACTCCACCTGCTTGTCCCCAGTTCAAAATAATCCATTGTTATTCTCTCGTTCAAGCAAGAAATATGCGAATTCCTTATGCAATTTCACCAACAAATCCTTCCAGATTTCTTGCAAATTTCCAGAAAGTGAAGTTAAAGAGAACTATGCTAGATCCAGTAGCAATAAGAAGATGGAGGAATACAACTTAGCTATGAAGAGAATGATGAGGAATCCTTATGAATATCACCATGAACTTGGTATTTACCAATTTACTATTAACATATGCTTTCCTTTTCCATGGTCACTTCTCTAAACTTGTTTACTTTTAAGATCTGGGTGTTAGCAACTTAATTTAACAAGTGATTGGGTTTTTAACTAAGAGGAATCATGGGTTAAGATCCCCTGAAAAGTAGATCTGCTATGCTCTTTTTGACTTTCTTTTACTGGGTTATGTATGTCTCACCTTTTTCTTCTTTTGTACATCACTTTATGACCATAAAACTTTAAGCAAAGTGTTTACTGTTTACATACTTAAAAGCTTGATCAATTGGAGATTATATTGCTTAATAGATCTAAATCTTCGTCATAAAAATGGTCTGTGAGGAACATCTGATTTGTAAAGTTATTGTTGTGCTGTATTGAGTTAGTAAAATTGGGCTCCCTGCCTTCTGTTTTGCAGCAATTATGCTATATTCTGAATGAATTGGATTTTCTATATGTAGTATTTTGGTGTTTGTCATGAAGAGATGATAGCGAATACAAAGAAGTTTTGATAGACAGCTTAAAAATATAATTTTCAACTGCAGGAATGAACTACACATTGATAACAGAAGATCTAATTGTTGGCTCCCAGCCTCAGAAAATTGAAGATATAGATTATTTGAAGGAAGAGGAGAACGTAGCTTTTATACTAAACTTGCAGCAGGACAAAGATATTGAGTTTTGGGGAATAGACCTCCAGTCTATCGTTACAAGATGTTCAGAGCTTGGAATTCATCACATGAGAAGGCCTGTAAGTAAATCTTCTCGATACTTACTGTTTTTCAAATTGGTCACACGAAATAGAACACCGTTACCCCTTAAACCATTGGTCTATACTAGTATTCAGCTTTGCGAAAATAATGGTAACATGTATTCCCTTCAAAAGTCGACAACTTCGATGTGAATTGAGGTAGTTTACTTTTTGTTAATCCTATACTTCACTATTTTGGTTATTGGTATGGATACTAGCTGAAGAGCTAACATCAAATATGTAAGCATATGCATTATATTTCCCTAGCATTGTTGAATCACTGGTTCAGAAAATCGGTGACCGCCAATATTCAGAACCTTGCAGACTTGTTTTAGCATACAGAGAATGCTCTGGCACCATGTCCACGAGTTCCAGGTTTTAGAATATAACTATGCTTCATGTTTTCAACGATGTGGATATAGTTTATGGATGTGCTGTAGGAGAAGGACCATTTGCTTGTTTTGATTTTCTTTCAATTTGCAAATTCTGGAGTTCAACACACTTTTTTCCTGGTCGATTGCCTAATAAAAAAGTTACGTCTTGGGATCTTATTTTTTTCTTAGACCACCTCTGGTTTTGTGTATTTTGATCATCACAAATACTTCTATTGTAGGCAAGAGATTTTGATCCAGATTCCCTGAGGAGTGTATTACCTAAAGCTGTTTCATCACTGGAGTGGGCGATTTCAGAAGGAAAAGGAAGAGTGTATGTACATTGCACTGCTGGATTGGGAAGGGCCCCTGCTGTTTCAATTGCTTATATGTTCTGGTTCTGTGGGATGGATGTAAGATTTTACCTTTTATATTATCATTAATTTTTTTTCACATTCAGATTTATGAATCAATATTCCATCCTTGGTCTAATAATAAAAGCTCATTAGCAGCTGTTAAATTGCTGTGTGTTCTGAGATCTTGATGTGCTTGTTGAGCAGCTAAATACAGCTTATGATACACTCGTTTCAAAGAGACCCTGTGGGCCCAACAAAAGGTCAATACAGGGAGCTACTTATGATTTGGCTAAAAATGATCAGTGCAAGGAGCCCTTTGAGAATCTGCCAGATTATGCCTTCGCGGATGTAGCAGATTGGGAGAGGAAACTGATTCAAGATCGTGTGCGTGCCCTTCGTGACACTTGAGAATGCAGGTTAGGCAATTTCTCTCTCTCTCTCTCTCTTTTTTTTTTTTTTGGATTAGGTATTTCCTTAGTCCATCATTGGACTATTGTCTTGGATTCTCTCAATTTCTGGGGATTATTGTGCTTCATGTTTACCATTCTTGAGTCTCCTGGATGCTATAAGCTTATCCTAATATAGATATTACCATATCATATTCACTTTCCCTTCTACAGTTGAAAGTTTGATATAGAAAAATAAAGTTGCCGTTCTTGGCTCGTATAGACATGTATAGACATGATTTTAAGAGGTGTATTCAGAATATTAGGATGTCTTTGATCACTAGCAATGAACTATAGTCCCGCATTCCGTCTTTTTTCTTACTTTCTCCTTGAATAGAGGAAATTTGTTTCACAAAAGCAAACAAACTTGGTCTCAACTTGGTGGTTTCTATAAGAATCAAAGAGGGTAATTAAAGGATACGGAAACCCAAAAATAAAGTGAAAAGAAATCACAAGAAATGTTTTTCTCTAAGAAATAAATGCCTGCTTTAGGCCTTGTGACATTCATTTGATATGTGAATTTATGTTTTTAGTTTGTACATATTATTAGTTTCTATGTGCAAACAAAACTCAGTTAACTGCATCTTACACAGTGTGCTTCTAGTTGATTCATCTTGAGTTACATGTTAACACAGCCGGGAATGATAATAGTAACAGTGATCTTGCTTAGTGATTCACTGTAAAGTTGATGCATCAGGCAAAGCCAATTTTAGTACTCTTTTATGTGTGGATTGATACAATGTGTATAAACTCATGCATCTTATATTATTTGGTATGTACAGCATGGAAGTATTCCAGAGAGCGAGAAGCTGCTCCTTGAAGTGAAGCCCCATGATATGAATTAGGTGCTCCTGTAACATATTAGGTCAGTAGATTCCTTATAGTTGTATACCCCTTTTATAAAGTAAGCCCATCAACTGAAAGTTCATTACAGGGGAGAACCTTGTTTATTCATGTTGTGTAGAACAATAACTTGAGGGGATCTATGTTCTCTTTCTGTACAACAACTTACAAGGAGGTTTTCTGTGGAATAATAGGTTGATACAAACGTGGTGACTCATTGGTTCACCTAACCCTTTCACATAATTCACATACAAACCACCTAGAACAACTTTGTCACTGTAATCTAGAGAATCTTGATCTTATAAGTAACTTTTAACTTCCTGCAAAGTCATCTGTCTTCTATATTTTTTACTTGAGCAACCTTTTACCCTTATGGGTTTATCACACAACAACTTCAGTGGGTCGTCTCCACATTGCTTGGGCGTCATGGCTGAGTTATTGGTTCTAAACTTGAGAAAGAATAATTTCAGTGGTAGTCTTCTATCGTTATGTTCTCAGAGCACTTCATTGATGACCACTGTCTTGAATGGTAATCAATTTAAAGGGTCTACCCTATGTCATTGTTCAATTGTTATGGTTGAGAAGTCCTTGATGTGGGGAATAATGCTATAAATGACACATTTCCAGCTTGTCTGGTGTCTCTGGGAGAGCTGCGGGTTCTTATATTGAAGTGGAACAAGTTCCCAGACTATAAGTGCTTGGCAAACTACCTTTGCTTTCCCATGTTGTGGATTTTTGATCTTTCTCCTAACAACTTTAGTTGCTTACTGCTTTCAAAAGTTTATGAAAGCTGGAGAATGATGAGACCAGATGACAAACATGAAAAATATCTTCAAATTGTGCAATGAAATAGGGTAGTTCCTTCCGATTGATTGTCATTCAAGACAATAGTCATGAATGAAGTGCTCAGAGTACATAATGGTGGAAGACTCTCACTGACATTGTTCCTTCTCAAGTCTAGTAACAATAGTTCAACTATGCAAGGTAGAACTGGATTACTCAATTTGCTGTGTGATGAATTCAGAAGGGTAAAACTGCTTAAATTAAATAGAAAAGGTAGACAACTTTGAAGGAAGTTAAATTTAAGTTCAAGATACTCTAGATTATGGAAATGAAGTTGTTCCAGGTGACTTGTAAGTGAATTATGTGAAAGGTTTAGGTAAATCAATGAGTCCCATCTCTTTTCTAATCAACCTAGGGCTCTACATAACACCTCCTTGTAAGTAATTTTGTCTTTCCCACAACATGCAGTGTACTCGATATAGGCTAATAATGCTTCAGTTATATGCATTCCTATTTTCATTATGTTCAGTTCCGACTCTTTTTATTTCATTATTCAATAATATGTCGTGTAGAACAAATTAGGACTTTCTAAAATTATGCATTCTTTAAAGAACAATTTTCACATATAACAAACAAAAAAATTATATTTGTATGCTATAGCAAAGTTTGCATAATTGCGTTCCATAGTAAACATATATATGTATTAATTCGCTATACATATACAATTGAAAGCTATGTCTATTTAGCTATACATATATATACAAGAAGCAATTGTATAATTCGCTGGCTCCTCGTCAGATTTGTATAGTTTCGCTGACAGGCCATTTGTATAAATTATTGTCAGCCTCTCGTTTGTATAAATCGTTGAGAGTCTCTCAATTTAATTTTGTGTTTGTATATCTGTATAAAATTTCAATTTGTATACAATTGAATCGAAATAAAACGTTTGTATATCAAATATTGTTCTCTCTCTCGCTTTATACAAACATAAATTATACATTGTATTTTGTATAATTTGTGTTTGTATAAAACGAGAAAGAGAAAGGCAAAAGAGAACTGGACAGGGGAATATTTGTATTGTATAATTATTATAAGTGTATAAGACGAAGATATATGTATTTGCATGTGTATATACAATTTTTTCTCGCTTTATACAAACAGAAACACAATTTATACATTTCTGTTTGTATAAAGCGAGAGAGGCGAGCGACAGAGAGAGTGAGCGAGAGTTTGAGGGAGAGAGGCGACTGACAAACAGTTTGCTACAGGGCATAATTAAATTAAAGTGTGGTTATACCATTTAATTTGAATTAATAGTTTGTCATTATGTATAATTTTCTCTTCTTTAAATATCATAGGTTTTTTTTTTTTTAACATTGCGATGTAATTCAATTATAATTTATTTGGTTAAGCTTATTAGATCAACTTGTATGGTCAATAAGTTAAAAAACCATTTTGAGCAACAATTAGCATTTGATTAAGTTTTTTAAAAGTGTATTTTTATCAAAAGTTCGGAAAGAATATATTTTTGAGCAACTTTCATATATAGCAAACATAAAAATCATATTTGTATGTTATAGTTTGCATAATTACGCTCTATAGCAAACTTTATGTTTGTTATGATTATTAATCTGTATATTTTGCTATACATATACAAAAAGAAACAATTGTATAATCTGTTTCGGTATACATATACAAAAGAATTAATTGTATAATTTGTGTTTGTATAAAGCGAGAAAGACAAAAGAAAACTGGGCAGATGAAGATCTGTATTTGTATAATCATAATTGTATAGGACGAAAATATATGTATTTGTATATACAATTTTCTATCGCTTTATACAAACACAAAAACAATTTATACATTTGTGTTTGTATAAAGTGAGAGGCGATTGAGTGGCGAGCGAGATCTGGGAGAGGGGAGAGAGGGGAACTGTCACGCACCGAGCCTACACCCTGGGAGGGACTGACACTCGAAGACCATTGCTGGCCCCAAACGAACCCTTGGCCTGACTTACTTAACTCAACGAAAGACAATATTCATACTTATAATGATCAATAACACTTAACTGAACTGAATAATAAAATAACTGAGAATGTTTGAAGGTTAAACATTCAACTTGGCCAAAAATGGCAACCCAAGTCTTAAAAATAAGAAATGATAATGAAAAGACTCAAAGGACTAACATCTGACTGTTTATGAAGCCTCTAAAACAACTGAGATGGATGTTGAGACAAACCCCACAACATCCTAATGAACTAACTAGAAAGCAATAAAAAAAAAGTCCTCCGAAATGCTAGGAGGCTCACCGATTGACTCTGAACTGCTCACTGGATCAACGGTGCACTGGGCCGATCCTAGTTACCTGTGTCTGCATCATAAGACAATGCAGGCCAACTGACATCAGTACATTGAATGTACGAGTATGCGAGTTGAAATGCTAAACAACATAGGCTTGAAAGGGAATCTGAAAGAAACACTTACCTTAGCTCTTCTCAACTCACGAATACTTAACTGAACTCATTTCAATATAAAACAGTTTAAAACAAGTGCAATATAAAGAAAAGTTGTTTAAAAACATGATGTCAACTCTGTGTATATATAAGGATACAACATAACTCTGAAATGTATGTAAAAATACAATAAACTGATGTATACAAAAAATACAATAACTTCTGTGGGAGTTTCTCTAACCGACAACCATCACATAAGAGCTATAGTGATGATACAACGATCTATCTCACGCTGCCAGCGCATCCTACACCCGACCAAAGGTATAAGACATGAACTACTAAGTGGATCCACTAGTCTATTGTGAAAAGGGTTCATCTAAAAAGTATGACCCTTTTCTACTCATGGTGGCTACATGGTTTTATGGAGTCGTGAGTTATCTGAACTCATGCTCACCCCCAATTCGGTGTTCAATACTACTCCCAAAATATACTAGCTGTTATGTTTAAAAACATACTTCTTCTGTGATTTGAGATTAATGCTCAAAAACTTAACTCAAAGGCTATCTTGGAAATCAAAGTTTCCCCTCTTGCTTCATTTAGAAAGTGATTACTTTTTCTGAAAACTAGCCTGAAGGCTCTTTGGAAATCTCAGTTTTCGTTCTTATTTAAATGTGAAAACATTTTTAATCTTTTTGGGAATACTTAGTCCCCATATACTTTTGAAGAAATGAACTTCAACTTTACTTTTTACTGAACTCAAAAACTTAAGTCTTAAAACAATGTTAAAACGTTTGCAAAAGACTTTTGAGAAACTCTAAGAACTTCGCTTGACTTGACTCTTATTTCTCTTGACTTGACTCTTAACTTTCCTTGAATTGGATTATGGATTCAAGGTTCATGATCTCATGATTATGGATGATTTCATGATGTTTAGATGTACCTTAGAGTGTTGGAACCAACTAGAAGACATAGGTACATTGCTAAGGAACACGTACAAAAAGGTGGGGACCGAATTGGGAGAACTGGCGTCCCTGGCGCTCTGAGAGGCGCGGGGCGCTAGCCCTCAAAATTCAGAGAACACTTTGGGGCGCTCTGGCTAGCGCGTTGCCCTGAGCCCCACATTCAGAGACTGTTTTGGGGCGTGCTGAGAAGCGCGACTCCCCAGCCCCTTCCCCTTCCCCAAAAAATCCCGAATTTTCTTCTTCGTTTTTCAACTCTAAACCTTCTAATTTCACTTAGTTCTTCCCCCAAACACTTAGAATCGTTTATACCCTCAATATACGATAGATTCAAATCGAAATTACACCCGAAAACATTAATAAAATCATCAAGAAACTTCAACAACACAATCCACATGAATTCAACGAAACTTTCAACAATGTTCATCAAGAACTCAATTTCTAACTTTCAAAGATTTAAATTCGCTGAATATAAACATGGTTGACGCGTGGGTGAACTTACCCAATGCTATGCGATCTCACATACCTTGTAGGGATCACCCCCGAGAATTCCACAAGCCAAACTTCGACGATCTTGAACGTTCTTGCTTCTTCTTCTCCTTTCTCCTTAGCCCTAGCATGAAATCCCAAATTCTAAAACTGACTAAAATCTGATTTGACCCATATTAAACTCCTAAAAACGGATTAAAATAAAAGGGCAATGAAAAGACTAAAATACCCCCTAAAATTCCGGATTGGACATTTCCTTAATCCAACTGCCCAACTTCCAATAGGCATAACTCACTCATACGAACTCGGAATCGCGTAAACTTGACGGCGTTGGAAAGATCATTAGAAGGGCTTTCCAACCATATCTGCAACTACACCTAACTCATCTTCAACTAGGAGTTATGGTCGTTAGAAGTTGACCAAAAACTCACTTTAACTTACTTAAAATTTTTCCAGATTTCCTTGTACTTTCCAAAAATAACTATTTCCAGATTTTAAACTTCCTTCTAGTTCTTTCTAGTTGTGAGATGTTACAGGAATGAAAAGATATGTATATATATAATTTTCTCTAGCTTTATATAAACACAAACACATTTTATATATTTGTGTTTGTATAAAGTGAGAGAGGTGAGGAGAGACTGCCCAGCGAGAAACGAGAGTGACGAGCGAGAAATTCAGGGAGAGAGGTGAAATTGTAACAATTTGCTACGGGTTACAATTAAATCAAACTGTGGTTATAACATTTAATTTGAATTAATAGTTTGTTATTTTATACAATTTTCCCTATATTTTTTCTAGCTTTTGGAAAAACAAGTTCTGCTACTCTCCAGTAGTACTTATTTTCTCCCAAAACACTTCACTTTTTTTAAAAAATCAGGGAAAGACCAAATATTACCACCCAAACTTTTAGAAATGGTACACATATATCCTCGGTTATACTTTGAGGTTGTATATACGCTTAGGGGGCCGTTTGGTTATGGAATAAATTCAAAGCTAATACATGAATAACTTTGATTATTTATGCATTAATTTTATATCATATTTGGTTTGCAAATATGCTAAAAGTTATTTCTATATTATTTTTATACGATGTTTGGTTGGTTAGTTTTCAAATGTTGTATAAAAATTACGGCTAATTTCAAATATATATATAATAAAGTAATTAGTTTACAACAAATATAGTCATGTTTTATTTATGTAAAAAAATAGCTAAAAGTTATAGAAAGTATACACTAACTATACTATATAGTTTGCTAAAAGTCATAAAAAGCATACACAAACTACATACCATAACTTACTATGCACTAATAATATATTATCATACATACAAAAGACTGAATATAGCTTAACTATACATGAAGTATACACTGACTATTCAATCTCGATCAATTCAAAATCACCTTTAAACAAGGTTGCCAGAATTTGGTTAGAATAGTGAAAAAGACTGTTATAGCCTTTCCCTCCAAAATAAAATTAACTTTTTGATATTTTCTAAATAGTATGAGCATTTATTATTTGGGAAAATGCATAAGTACCCCCCCAGCCTATGTCCGAAATTCCAGAGACACACCTAACCTTTACTAAGGTCCTATTACCCCCCGAAC